AATGATCTGTAGGTCCATGTATAAATGTGTGTGTATGAGTGTGTGCATATATGTGCCCATATCTGTATATTACACGTATGTGCATGTGTGTGCACATGTCTGTATGGGTATGTACATGCATGTGTGCGTGTGTGTGCATGCATGTATTTGTGTGCCTCTGCACGCTGACCTCTCCCAGTCCCTCAAAATGTGGGCTCAGGTACCAAGACTGGCAGATGTTGTCACTGGGTATTGATGTCCCAGGTGGGTAATGCTTGTCGCCAACGTAGCAGCCACACTTGTCACTGGTGACACACTTCTTCAGGTCCTCATCATAGATGGGTCTATCCTCAGGGCACCGGGGGTAACAGCCTGGTGGGCACAGGGCATGGGGCTTGGACCACCACAGAGGACCGCAGTCCACCAGACCCCACCGTCACAACCGCCCCAGCAGGCTCTTTTCTCCGGAAGGATCCTCAGTGGAGACCCCTCCCCCACCTGGTGCCTGGTAAAGCCAAAGGTACAGCAAGGCCCCGCCCACCTGCTGACAGCACTCAGGCCCCGCCCAGCCTCCCCAGCCCCGCCCCCGCCCCCTCCCCTTGTCTGACATCTTCCTGTCTGCTTTTCTGTCTCCTGCCTGTCTCCGAGAGAACCGGACTCCATGGACTTTGCCAGGAAACCACGAGCGAGAGCTTCCTGCAACGGGGAGGCCTGCATGTCCTGGTCCCTCTGCAGTGACCTCCCGGGCTCAGCGCCCCTCCCTGCTCACCCTCTAGGTAGGACACGGAAATGTTCGAGTGGATGCCGTTGATGCTCCGGCACGTCTCGAAGCTGCGGTTCCCACACGGCTCATAATGCCACTCACACTCGTCTGGGGGGTTGTAGTAGTCGCAGAAGATGGCTGTGGGGAGAGGGGGCGCTCAGACCCTCCGGGCTGCGGGCCGTACTCCCGAGCCTGCGTGGGATGTGGACGCTGGGCCCGGGCCACACTCACGGCACAGGTCGGGCGTCCTCCAGAATACACAGGCCGCCTCCTTGGTGCACTCCTGGGCGTAAGAGGCCACCGCTGAGCAGAAACATTCGCAGTCGCCACCCGTGTCGCAGGAGCAGGAGTCGTGGACGCAGGCTTCATAGAACGGCTTGGGGTCCACCTGCCCAGGAAAGTGCAGTGAGCCAGGACCCCAGTCCCCGGAACCCACCACGGCCCCGCCCCCAGGGGCAGGTAGCCCCGCCCACCTTGCTGTGGCAGATTTGGAAGACTTGGCTCTTGATGATGCTGCATTGCTTCTCGGCCCAGGAGCGTCGGTGCGGGTTCTTGTTGCAGGGTTCCGGGGTCGTAGTTACGTCCGTGCAGGTGGGGGCTTCCTTCCAGCTGTTCCCGAAGTCCAGCTCGTTGTCCACCACCATGTGGTCCCGCGTGGTGAAATCATTGTTGGAACGGTCGTCGAAGTTGCCACACAGGCCACACACGGTACCCTGCAAGCACGAGAGGCAGCGGGGACTTGCCAGGGGGTCGGGGGGGGGGGTGTCGCTGCACAGGAATCTGGGGGCCCCAGGTGGGTCCGCAGAGGGGGCCCCGGAGGCGGGGGCGGGCGCGCGCACCTTGTAGGAGGGGGCAAGTTTGATGAAGATGGTGGTTTTCTTGTCCCAAATGATGATGATGCCGGTGCTGGCTTCTACCACCAGGTACTGGCCCACCTCCCGCGTGGTGTAGGACACGTGGTGCCCCATGTCACGCTGAATCACCACACGGTGCTTGTCTTCCAGCTTCAGCTCTGTTCTCTGGACGTGGGGAGGGACGTCACTGGTCAGTAGCATCCCCAAGAGCCCACCCCCACACAAAAGCCCACACACTCCCTTCCCCAAGCCCCAGGTCCCAGCAACCCTTACCCCCAGGAAGATCTTGATGGCCTTGGAGCAGGTCACGCCTGTGGTACCGCAGGGCACATTTTCTGTGATGATGCTAAAGGAGCCCAGAGAGGAGTTCTGGCCACAATAGTCCTGAAAGCAAAGGCGAGTGAGTGGCGTGGGGCTGTAGGCACCAGGTCCACCCACTCCAGTCTCAGAGACCCAGCTGTGCCCCTTCTCAGCAGGGACTATCGGGCCTCATCCCTGTGTAGATCAGGTCCCTCGGTGTAGGTCAGGACCCTCGGTGTAGGTCAGGACCCTCGGTGTGGGGTCAGGGCCCTCGGTGTGGGGTCAGGACCCTCGGTGTTGGATCAGGACCTTCAGTGGTAGGTCAGGACCCTCAAGAGAGCGATTGGGGGCTTGACAGAACCTTGTTTCTCAGTACTTGACCTGCCAACCCCATCTCTCCTCTAAGTAGCCACAGAGGAGCAAAGGTGAGGGCTCCCGTCCACCCTCTGCTGGGGGTCAGGACAAAAGAATGGCCTCCCCCTCCTCACCTGAGCAGCCACGTAGGAGCAGTGGCCATCGAAGTCATAGTATTTCCCATCAAAGGTGATGTAGTGACCACTTCCATAGATGGCACAGGTGCCGTGGCACACAGCCTGAGTACACGTCCAGCGTCCTCTGCGGCAGGTACTGAGGACAGGGAGTTGGGGGGTGGGGGCTGGAACTAAACTGTACTCAAAAGGCAACCAACGGGGACTCCTACAAACGCCCATGACCCCCAAGCCTGGCAGACACAGGGAAGTAGGTCCATCTGTGCCTTCAATACCCAGGAGACCCCAGGGAGAAGGCACTGCTCCCAACAGCTCTCCAGCAGCTGGGCCTTACCAGGTGTTGCAGTTCACCTTGATCTTGTCCCCAGGGAGGTACAGGTCCTTGTTATGGACACAGGGACAGTCCTCCTCTACCACACAGCCACCTCTGCCATCATCCATCAGCCCGTTGGGACACACGCAGCCGCTGATGCATTCTGTCTGATACTGGGGGCGCAGGGGGGTGGACTCAGGACAGCAGCCAAGATAGGCCAAGTGGCATCCTCTCCTCAGTGCACCCGATGCTTTGATATCCCAGCTCTTACCCCAACGCCTCACCGGTCCCACCTGACCCGACCCTGGGAGTCCTCCCAGAAGCCCAGTCTTGGGCAGGAGTCCAGTCCACTGCCTCCCTCCCAGGCACCAGGAACAGTAGCAAAGTCCATGTAGCCACATGACTGGGCATTGGAGTCTCAGAGCCTCAGATATGGGCCTTGCACTGTCCTGCCCATGTCCCCTCCAACTGAGGCTCTAGGGCTCCAGGGACAGCCCGCCCAGCAACCAGGGCCCCCAGGTGCCCCCAGCACTTACATAGCCGGCGGCCAGCGTCTGACAGCTGAGGGGCCGGGGGTTCTTGACAGCCAGCGCAGTCACATTGTTGCAGTCAATCTGGATCTTGGGGGCCTTGCAGCCTGAGGGACAAGGTGGCCACGTCAGCTCTAACTGAAATTAGGAGGTCTCGGGCAGTGGTGTGGGAGACAGTGAGCAGGTGTGGGTCAGGGGGACACTTACTCTGACCAAGCAGCTTGACCTGCATGCAGTGCAGTCTCCCATTCCGGCACACGCTGCAGGGAGAAATCGGAGGTGAATTAGGCCAGAATGTTCTGGAAACTTCCCAGGGCTAAGCCCCACAGCAGCCCAAGAACCCATGAGAGCTGGTCCCTGCCAGCTGCTCCTCTCAGACCCCTACACACACTTTAAGGAAGGAGGCACAGATACGGGGCAGCCCCAGGGCTCTGGGGGTGGCATTGAGGCCCAGGGACCCAGCTCTCTTCATCATAGTTTCCTCCAACCACCTACCATCGCTCCTCCTGACGTAGGACCACGTCTCCAGCCTCCAGGTAGAGGCCCCGGTGGTAGCAGGAGCATTTGGCCAGCGGCACACAGCGACCCTTCTCATCCAAGAAGGTGTGGTCCGGGCAGCCGCAGCCGTCCACGGGCGCAAAGCCCTTGAGGCAGTGCTTGTCCGGCTCGGAGAGCGAGCGGCAGGTCTGCTGGCACGTGGTCAGGTTGTAAAGGAAGATCTGGGAGTTGGGGCAGGCGCCTACATCTTTGTCTGTAGGGGTAGGGGGAATTGGTGTGAGTCAAGGGGTGGCAGCTCTGTCCCAGCCACACATAGCTGCCCGCAGCCCCAGGGCTCCCACCATCCTCCCCACTCACTGCAGACGCGTTCCCGCCAGCCCCACAGCATGACGCCCTTGGCAGCGCAGGCTCGGGCGTAGGAGGACAGGGCGGCACACATGCAGTCCTCATTGTTCTGGCAGTTGCACGTGTCGTACTTGCACCTCTGAGCGGCAGACATGGACACAGACGGTCAGGAGTAGAGACCAGGGCTCAGGCACACATACAGCACCCCCAAACATGCACACACACACACACACACACATGTGCACAAGCACACAGCAAGTGGGGCGTCCTGTGTGTGTGCTGGCCACACTCACCTTGTAGTACTCAGCGGGGTCCACTGCAGAGTGGCATCTGCCAAAGGGTGTCTCTGTCTTCTTCAGCAGTGAACACCAGTGCTCAGCATAGTTGGCTGCAGAGGGGGAGGGGTTCGGACCTCAGCAAGGGTGAGTTGACCCCAAGAGTGGGTCCCCTGAGTCCCGCACCCTGGCTGGTCAGACTAAACCCAGATGATGCTTCCCACCAGAACTTGCTTGGGCCAGCTCAGGATGTGACCAGATGCCCCACACAAGGCTGGGTAACAGACGGGTTACCACATAAACAAGGTGAGCATGTGCTGAGAGCACCCGCAGAATGAGCACCGCTTACCCAAAGCAAAGACCCAGAGGTGCCAAGCAGACAGAATACAAGGAAAGTGAGCATTGCAGTAGACGGAACTGGCAGCTACTCCAGGAACGTGCTACCAGCTCCAGCGTGTGAGACTGTACCAGCCAGAAATAAATCTCATCATGCAGGTGACCACCAGGGTGCCCCACTTGCGAAGTTGTTCAAGCTGTAAGGCCTCTGCTACTTGGACCCCTTCATTAACATGTCTCCTATGGTCCGCTCCCATGTCATTGAAACTCTTTATCTGACTGTGTATAGATAGCATTTCTTTCTAATAAACAAGAGATGGGGTGGACAGTCGAGTCTAACTCTTGCTGCATTCATCCAGCATGTAACTGGACCCAACATGCGTGGATGCTAGGCAAAAGGACCCAGTTCCTCTGATCTAGTTTGACAGGCCTGTCTGGTACATCCACGTCTTTTCTGACCAAGCTGCTCCAGCCAGGAAGTCAGCATGCTCTTTGCCATCAGAGAAACAGGGTCTACTCCTGCCTCTGTCCTGGTAAATAACCAAATGGGAACCCCAGTGTGGGGTGACATGCAAAAGTAAGGACACTCGAGTGACTTTTTAACTGGATAGCCCTTACTGACAGCTATGATCTTGTATTTGTAACCTCAACTTTAAAATGTTTGGCATACACATGGGTACAATCTAGCATGTAGCGAAGTGGTTACGAATCGGGCTGCGAACCTTAAGGTCAGCGGTTCGAAACTACCAGCCACTCCGCGGGAGAAAGATGAGGCTTTCTACTCCCGTAAAGATTTACACCCTCGGAAACCCTGTACAGGGTCGCTATGGGTCGGAACCGACTCGACGGCACTTAACAACAACAACAATATATATTATGTGTGGTTATGAATCGGGCTGTACAGAGTCGCTATGAGTCAGAACCAACTCGACGGCACTTAACAACAATATATATATGGTGGTGTGATGTGAACTCAGTTCCAGCTCATAGTGACCCTGGATAGGGTTTCCGAGGTTGTAAATCTTTATGTAAAGCCTCATCTTTCGCCCACAGAACAGTTAGTAGTTTCAAACTGCTGACCTTGAGGTTAGCAGCCTGACTTGTAACCACTACGCTTATATATATATATATATGGTGGTGGTGGTGGTTATGTGCCGTGGAGTCGGTTCCAAGTCATAGCAACTCTGTACAGGGTTTCCGAGGCTGTAAATCTTTATGGAAGCAGAAAGTCTCATCTTTCTCCCATGGAACAGCTGGTAGTTTCGAACTGCTGACCTTAAAGTTCGCAGCCCAATTCGTAACCACTACGCTACCATAGCTCCTTTAAATATATATATATAAGTTGTTAAGTGCCATCAAGTTGATTCTGACCCATAGCGACCCTGTATAGGGTTTCTAAGGAGCAGCTGGTGAGCTTGAACCACCGACCTTACAGTTCAAATGACTTTGCAGTCTGACTCATTAGCCCACAGCACCACACAGGACTCTCTACATACATGGAGTCCTGATGTGACACTGTAGGATAAGCCCTGGACTGGTCACTGCAAGGTAGGAGATTTAAACCCACCAGTTGCTCCTTGGAAACCCTATACAGTGTCACTATGAATTGGAACGGACTCAATGGCCCTTAACAGCAGCAACATATACTTGTATGTTCACATGTATGTATGTGTATACATGTAACTCACATATCCCATTTGAATGCATGAGTAAGCAGAGGACAGGCACCACAAAGTATCAAGGTCTAGCGTCCTCACAAGCCTGCCCAGGGATGAGGTGAGACGGCAGGTGCCATGGACATGGGCTGCCCTCGCTCTTGTGGTTTCACGGCCACTGACTCATGAACCAACCCCCCAGCAGGAAGAAGCTGCCAGCCCTGCTCACTGCCTTCCCAGAGCCACCGGCCCCCGCGTCCCCCCAGCTCACCACTCTCAATGTTGAGGGAGCAGGGGTCATCCAGCCAGTCCAGCTTGTCATGGCAGCTCGACTGGGCCTTCCAGGTGTTGGCGAAGCCAGCGCCTGTAGCCTCCACCAGCCCACCAGCAGTCTTGAAGTCATCACTTTCCAGGCCGTTAAAGTTTCCGCAGAGGCCTGGGGGGACGGGGTAAGGTGGTGAGGGGTGGGAACCTGGACTGAGGGCAGGGCGGGGCCTATGAGGGCTGCAGTGGGCAGACGGGTACTCACCTTGTACCCGCCCCTGGGAGCTCTGGTCCAGTGTCATGAAGAGCTGCATGACCGGAGTTAGCTGCACCTGCAGCCGCAGGCCGAAGGCCGTGTTGACAATGATGTGGTAGGAGGAAGGCCGGAAGATGGAGAAACTAGCTGCAGTGTGGGACAGAGCAGTGAGGACATCACAGGGCACGGGGCAGCTCCCAAGTCCAGCCAGGAACCAGGCCTCAGGAGGGGCACCCTCCCCTCTGCCCAGTCTGGGATGCATCCCCCTGCCCAGTCCCAAGCCTTAGGGGAAAGGATCATGGGAGGAGCCCTGGAACCCAGCTTAGCCCCTGGGAACGGGTGAGTCCTCACACACACACACACACACACACACACACACACACACACACACTGCCTGGGGCTCACCAGTCACATGGGGCAGGTTAACCTCCAGCTCATTCAGAAGCACACTGCCATCAGATTTGAAGGCCACCACCTGTGGAGAGCCAGCAGAGGCTGAGAGGGGCCCCTAGCCAGTGGGGGCTGGGCAGGGTGGGCAGGAGTGGGCAGGGCAGGGTACCCACGTTCTTCTTCCTGTCGGCCAGCAGGACCACTGTCTTCAGGCAGGTCTGCTTGTCTGTGGAGCCGCAGGGGGCTAGTTCACCCAGAAGCGCATAGGAATCATTGTGGTCCCCCTGGGGGGATAAGGGGACGATGTAACTGCAAAAAGCTAAAGGACCATGCCCCCCAGGACCCTGCACCCTCGACAACTCCATCCACAGGAGGGGGCCACCTCATCCATTCCACTGAGACACCCTCCCAGAGGGCAGGACAGTCCACACCAGTGGCCACCTTGGCCTACCTTGGCCAGGACATAGTAACAGTCTCCATGGAAGGTGAACTTCTTCCCATCAAAGGTGGTGATGTGGGAGCCACCCTCCAGAGCGCAGGTCCCGGGGCACGGCAGGTCTTCGCACATCCAGCGGCCTGACTGGCAGACGCTGTGGGCAGCAGTGATCAGCCCCCGGCGCCCCCGCCCTTGCCCCCACCCCACCCTGTCCTTGAGCACCAGACACTCACCACTGCTCACACTGGTTGGTGACCCGCTGGCCGGGGGAGTACAGGTGCCCATGCAGCCTACAGTGGCACTGGCTGACGGAAATGCAGCCGCTCCCGGCGATGTCGTCGAACACAGTGCCTGGACAACAAAGGGCGGAGCCATTGCTGGAATCCTCCCTCCCTGGGGCACTGCCACAACAGACATCTCTGGTCCTTAGGGCGGACATCTGTGTCCCCACCAGTCTTAGGATCAGGGTTGTGTCAAGGAGGCCTGAGGGTCCCCCGGCTCAGCGTTATGGGGGGAGGAGCCGCCCCTTTGGAGTTACCATGACAGAGGCTCACACCTTCCTATTAGGACTTGGCTCAAAATTCAGGCTGGCTGTGTGTGTGTGGCGGGGCGGGGGGTCATCACTGCCCTGCACAGTCTCATGGGCCCTCACCATTGTCCCCTCCACTAGCCCAGGGACCCCCAACCCCACCCCGACACCCTGCGCGCACCTTCCGGGCAGAAACAGCCGTCCATACGGTGCTCCTCGCAAAGGCTGCTCATCTCCAGGTGTGAACAGGTATCCATGCAGGGAGAGCCGCTCTCCAGGTAGACCATGTTCCCTGGGCAGCTCTTGGCTGCGTGGGCAGAGAGGGACGGTGAGCTAGCCTGGCCCACACACCCAGGCTAGGGGGCTCGCGGCAAGGCCGGGTGGATGTCAGACACGGCGCCCCCTTTCGGTCATCTGGTCCCAGGCTCCCCCGACCCAGCCGCGCCCCTTCCGGCTCCCCGTGCTCCGCGCGCTTACGGCAGAAGGAGGCGCTTCTCCAGGATCCCGGGCGGCCCCCGGCGTGGGAACACTGGCGCGAGAACTCAGCGACGGTGCTGCAGACACACGCGGCCTCATGGCCCGGCGCGCAGCGACAGCGGTCCTCCACGCAGGCCAGCACGTACAGCTCGAGTGGCACCAGCGCCCCGCAGTCGGCGAAAGCTTCGGCCGTCAGTAGCCGCTCGCACTCGGCGCGCTGGCGGGACACGAACGGTGGACGATTGCTCGGCCCCGCCGCCTCCCACGCTGCCGCCGCACGACTCCCGGGCCACCCTGAGGTCGCCCTCCCCGGTCAGGGTCCCCGCCTGCACTCACGTGCTGGGCGCAGCTGGCGGGGACCTTCTCCTCCTCGGGGTCCTCGCACACCATGTCCGGTTTGTTGATTTTCTGCATGTTCCCGAACTCAGTGGGAGTGAAGAGGATGCCTGAGAGGGGTCAACCGTCAGCAGGGTGCCCAGGGCGCCCCTCCCCACGCCCGCAGAGCCCAGGGGCGGCCCTCACCGTCACTTAGGAACTCGGAGTAGGTCTGCAGGCCGTTAAAGTCCCCGCAGAGACCGCACGTGCGATTCCGAAACTTGCTGTCCAGCTCCAGCTGTGAGGGGGGAGGGGACAGGTGAGTTGTGCCAGGTGCAGGTGGGCACCAAGGGGCTGGGGAAGGTGGGTTCCACTGTGAACAGGGAAGGTGAACCCTCCCACCATCGTGATGGGCCCCTTGGGCTTCAGTAGTTGTGGAAGGGTTGGCGTCAGCCACTAGGAAGCCCCTGGGGCCACTGGGGGCGAGGAGGGATCCAGGGGAAGTGTGAGCCCCAACGCCTCGTGTCCCCCTCTCAGGGTGAGGCAGGTACAGTCCTTTTCTGTCCCTAGACCATCCCAGACCCACCTCTGTCCCCTGGGGCCTTGAGGTCCTCGTCTACAGAGGAGGGGTTGGGCCACAGGCTCCATGCCCTCTCCTGGGGTCCCCAGCCCCCCACCCCGGCACTGGGTAGGAACTCTGCTCACCATGAGGGAGTCCTCGCGGTTCCACATGAGGGCCAGGCCGGCCCGGGAGTAGACTTTGGTGTAGGCGTAGTTCTTTTCAATGAGCAGCCCTGAGCTGTAGTGCGGGGTGCTGACCCTTGGAGTGGCAGGGGGGATGGGGGGGTGGCGGGACACAGAGTCACCAGCTGACCCTGGGCCCACCTCCAGTCCTTGCCCTCTCCCTGCTCCCAGCCCGGAACCCCCCACCACCACCCACAGCTTGTCAGTCGTGCTCACACCGCGGTCTTGGCTGCCCTCTGGTGGACGATATGGGCAGCAGCCAGAGAGCTTTGATAACCCTTGGCCAGACTTCTCCGGTCCTGCCACCTCCCAGTTCCACACTTTCTCCCTTCTCCTTGGTCTGTGCAGTGCCCTTCACTGGGCTATTCACCCCTTCCAGGTTTTTTTCAAAGGATCACCCAGGAGGCCATCTGCTGGTGTGGGAGACTTCTCCAGCCCCTGCCTGTCCCTGAGGCTGGTGGGTACCCCACCCACCTCCTCCCTGTACCAAATGCTGGTCCAGGTACCTGACCTCACCCCAACCTCCACCCCTTGTGGCTGGCCACCTGATGACCAGCTGGCAGGCAGAACGGCCAAGGGTGGAGGTGCAGGAAATAGAACCCCACAGGGTAGAAAGAGGGCAGATCTGCAGGTGGGAAACCTGCCTGGCAGGAACACATTTAAGAGCTTGTCATTGTTATGGAGACAATGGGGAAACAATAGCTGGGCTGTGGGGAAGGGGTCCCTCTGCACCCCTTCTGTAACTCTACCCTCAGGCACTCTAGACCTAGCCACTGGCCTCGCCCCAACTGGGCCCAGGAACCCCTGCCACTCACCAGAACCTGGCTGGGCTGGAGGGGAGGGGTCAGGAGACTGTCAAGCAGCCCCCATGAGACAAGGACATCCTGCCCACTTCCCTGTGGTCCTCAGTTGGATTTGTTGAATGAATACTGGTGATGTGAGCCCAGACCCCAACAGCTTCATGACCTCACTGGAGAGGGTCCCACCGCCCCACTCCCCACCAACTATGTATGAACCAAGCTGGTCCAGCAGTAAGACCCCTTGCCCCACCCCACCTCATTACTAGGGCATGTCCCTGGCCACACTCACAGGGCCCCGTTCACCACGGCCAGCTGCCGTGTCAGATACACAGTGTCATCTTTGATGGTCAATAGGATGTGCTCCAGCTGGGGTGGGCCCCCTTTGCGGCCCGGGCCCCGCCTCAGGTGCACAGCGAATTCCTTGTAGGAATCTCGACAGTCGGAGGCAAAGTTGTAGTCACAGAGACCACTGAAGTGGTAGACGTCACCGTCGAAGGTCTTGTAGTGGCCATCCCCCCATGTGCTGCAGACTGTGTGGCCATGGTTGCGGGTCCTGCCTTCTGAGGACAACAGGTCACAGGGTGAGTCTAGGCTGGGACACCCCACCCACACAGCCTCCCTGTGAATCTGAGCACATCTGGAAATGGCTTAGGGTCCACCAGACCCTGCTGGTTCCCCCCAGGGTCTCAGCCTCCGGCTACCCTGAGCTGCCCTCCTAACCTGACATGGGATGGGGTACCCTGGCTGTCCATTCTCCCTCTGCCCTGCGCCTCGCTCAGCACCCCTACTCCAATCTGCCTGAGGTCATCCAAGGCACCATCTTTTCAACTAAAGACCCCCTTCCATGCAGAAGTGGCATCTTGGGTTGGACCCTCCATGGGAATTCTGGGACCTGCCTGCCCCAGCTCCTCCCTAGCTGCCCCACCATCCAACAGGCCCCAGCCTAGCTCAGATGCTGCTACCCAGAGGCTATTCCCACACTGGGTCTAAGGTGTACCCTCAAATAGAGGGGGGAAGGAGCCAAGGCCACCACAACCTTCTGCCCCTTCTTTAAAGTTAGCAGGGACTCCAGACACGGAGTGGGTCACCCCACCTGCTCCGATACCTCACAGAACTACCCCAGAGGCTGGGTAGAGGAGGTCCAGGCAGGGACCCTGTGCTGTGGATGTCCCCCAGCCCCTAGGCCAAGACTCACAGCCTGACCATCTAGCCCACCCCCTTACCTCTATGGAGCTCTGTGCCCCTGGCTGAAGATAGGGCCAAGTAGACGGCCACCAGGCGGGCTAGGGGCAGCCCCATGGTGGCTCCGATGGGTGATCTGGAGAGCGACTTCGGGCAGGGGTCTGGGCCTTATATGCCTGGCCCAAGGAGGCGGGGAGGGTAGGGAGGGGCGAGGGGTGGGTGGGGCGTGTGCAGATTATGGAGAAAACAGCTGTAGAGGCTCCCTCGGCATGCTGCGTGGGGAAATATTGATTCTGGTTATCAGAGAGTTATCTTTTTATTGCCCTGGGTAAATGTGGCTTCCTCAGGATGCGGTAGCCCAATTGCCCCAGTGCTAGCCCACACCCAAGTGTAACCTCCTGCCCCTCCCAGCCCAGAGCCAGGGGGCTCCTGCTGAAAGTGGAAGCATGTCCTAGACTGGCCAGCACCCCAGCCCATGGGCCTCAGACCCTTCAGTTCAGCACCCCTGAGCAAAGCACAATCCAGTGAGGGGCTCCTCCGAAGTCTCCACCAGACCCCTGTGTGTTCCCGACATCTCATCTCCAGAACCCCCAGCCAGCAGTGTAGATGTGATGACCAAAGCTCCCTGTCCACCCTTACTCATTCAGGCCCGCATTAGAGATCACTCTGAGGACCCCCCCAAGGGGCCGGACTGCTCCCCAACCTCTCCAGCTGGCTGTGGGGTTCTGGGCTCTGGCTGCTCTAATCCTCTCCTTTCCCAGGTAGATCTCGGCTCTGGAATTACATGTAATTAGAACTCAGGAGTGTGGCAGCTCAGCAGGACGGTTTACGGAACCAGGCCCACAGGGCCGAGTGATAGGTTCCAAGTGGAAGAGGTGGGCACTAGGAGAGGGTCCCACAGCCGGTGGGACTCAGGGCACAAACCCACTTCTCTCCCAGGCCTTGGAAGGGCAGCATCGCCGGCCAGTGGCCCACACCTGACACTGGAGAGAGGGTTATTCTGCCCCAGAGCGGTGAGCCATGGCCCCTAATGGCTTCCAGCCCCTGGCTGTACCAGGTCAGTCACAAACACCCCAGGCTTTATGGGAAGTGCCTGGAACATGGCATTTAACGTTCCTGCTCTTACCCCAAGCCCCAGAGGCCTCGGATACGCTATCCCAGCAGGTCCATCACGTGTGAACAGAGGTCTGAGGGTCGACCCTCCTTCCGAAAGTGAAGGCACCCCAAATTTGGTTTCTGAAGTCAGCAATCAAGAGTGGAGAGAAATCTCCTGTGAGAAGGAGGCCCTGAGGTCCTGGAGGACTGGGAGGGCTCCTTGGAACAGTCCCCACTGTGGCCAAGCCTCGAGACAAGGCTCCCGGCCTCCAGCCCCAAACCGTGGGGTCCCCTTCCACCCTCTGGAGCAGATATGAGCCCCAGACCCCAGCACAGACTCGGGGCCTAAGGATGTTCAGGATGGGGATGATGCCACTCATCCCGGCGTCTCTCTGTGCCCCAAACAGGGACCCCCAGGGTCTGGGGACATTGGGGACATGGAGGCTAGAATGTGTGGCCCAAGCTGAGAGGAGGCTTAGGGAAACTGGAGCCCTATGCCAGAGCAGGGCCATTGTATACTTCCCTGTTCTGAATGTCATGCTGGCGCCGAGCCCTGGGGGAAACCCAGGCCCGGGGCAGTGATTTTCCATGCCAGGCTTGCACTGCCCTGGCGGCTGGCCCAGGGCTCCCAGGGAGTCCCCAGTCTGCGAGAGTCTCTAGATCCAGGAGTCACATCTCCATACCTGGCCCAGGTGAGACAGCAGGATGCGGAGGGTGATGGACCCCTGGCATCTCATGGCTTCTGTCACAGCCTCCCCTTGACTCTAGCTCGGCAGTGGCCGAAGACGCCCGTGGGCCACACGTGTGCGCTGTTCCAACTCACGCCAGCCACTACAACACAGTAGAACTGCTCCGCAGGGGTTTCAAGACCGTGACCTGTGGAAAGTTTGCTAGATCTTTCTTTCATTGCACCTCTTCTGGGAAGGCTCCAACCCCCAACTTTTGACTAGTAGTGAGCGTGTAGCCTCAGGAATAAAAACCTGCATTGAGGATGGGAAGACTGAGGCCACACAGCCACTGGGGGGTACCTGCTCCTAGACCCTGTGCTGGGCCCTGCAGACTGTGATCTGTGTTTTGAAGAAAGATACTCAACATCGGGAGGCCCAGAAACTCCTGAACGAATGAACGAGTGAAGGACTCAAGAGTGGAAAATGACCATTTGAGAAAAAAAAGGCTAAACATTCGACAGAAAAACCACTGCCATTAAGTCAATTCTAACTCCTAGTGACCTTGTAGAGTGTTTCTGAGGCTATAAATTTTTACAGGTGTAGAAAGTCCCATCTTTCTCTCATGGAGCAGATGGGGACTTTGAATTGCTAATCTTGTGGTTAAGTAGTCCAGAGCTTATCCTACAGTGTCCAAAAACAAAAGATTACTGGGACCCCCATGCACACCAACACACCTGTCAGGGTTGGGGGTGACTGAGAATCTCCCACTGAGGCTGAGGTTTTGATGGAGCTGCTGAGGGAAGGAGGGGTCTGCTTGAAAGACAGCAGGGGTTGGAGAAAGTGGGGTCCTCTCCAGAATTGAGAAGGTGGTGATATCCCCAGGTCTGAAAAATTGGGGTCTTCCCCAAGTCTGAGAAAATAAGAGTCCTCCCCACATCTGAGACGATGGAAGTCCTCTCCAGCTCTGAGAAGGTGAGATGCCCCCACAGTGCCTTCGTTTTCTAGTGTTATAACAGAAATAGCGCGAGAAATAGCACGAGTGCGTGGCTTCAGCAGACACATTTACTCTCTCACAATTTAATAAGCCAGAAGTCCAACCTCAGAGCATCAGCTCTGGAGAAAAGTCCTTGTCTCATTTTAGCATCTGTAGGCCCAGCAGTCCTTGGAGATCGCAGTATCTCTGAACATCGATCCTTCCATAAATCTAGGAGCTTCACAGAGCAGGGACTCCAGGTTCAAAGAACACAGTCCACTTCTGGCTCCTCTTTCTTGGTGGCAGTAGGTTCCTCTCAGCTCTGCTTGGTTGTTTAATCTCTTTCATATCTCAAGAGAGATTGACAAAAAAGAAAAGAGAGAGATTGACTCAAGATACACCCTAATCCTGTAGCTTGCATCTGCCCTTGTGAACATCACAGAAATGAGGATTTACAACACAGGATATTTACATCCGATGGGGCTGATGACATCAAAACACAGCATGGGAGATGATTACATCATATTAGATCTCATCATGAGGTGATTACTACATCTTAACTGCTAAACCACTGAGAATCCAAGCCAAGTTGACCAAAACCTTAACTAACACACCAGGTCTGAGAAGGTGAGAGTCCTCTCAAAATCTAAGAAGAAGGAACTCCTCCCAAGATGTGAGAAGGTGGGGTACCCCCCTGGTCTAAGAAAATGGGGTCCTCTCCAGATCTGAAAATGCGGGGTCCTCCTTACAGCTTAAAAAGCAGGATTCCCCTCTGGTCCAAGACTGCTGACCCTGTAGTCCTTGGGGTCTCTGACACAAAGGTCCTCTCCGATGCAGTCACAGGGCCTGAGGTGAGGGTTCTGAGAGCCGAATCCCAGTCCCTTCAAGGGCCTCATGTATGATGGAGGCTGATGTCAGGAAGACGGAAAGTGAGGGCAGGCTCGGGCTATCAGGTCCAGGTAAGCAGAGTCACCCCCAGAGTCAGTAGCAGACCCAACCTGGAACCCCTAGCAGCCTTCCCCTGCCCTCCCCCACTGGACTTCCCTGTCTGGGAGCCGCATGGTGCCCTGAAGTAAGGGAAGCAGAATGGGACGCTCTCCCTTGGAGCTTACCCTGCTCTGGTCAGGACACCCAGACCCCATGAAACCCTTGAAGGAACAAGGGGCCTCAGGGCATTCTCAGTTAACCCTTTGATGCTCAGACACAGAAGACTCTAAGACTAGCCCACAATGAGTCAATTTCTAGAGGGGAGACCTTCACCCTCAGTCCTCACAATAACTCCACCTGAACCCTTCTTGGCAGGGCATCAACTGAGGGAGGCGACTGGGTGGGCAGTTGTCACCAGCCTCAGGGCTCAAGGAAGGGAGACCCTACCAGCACCCAATGGGGATACAGGGGTGGGGAAGTATAGGTGTGGCTATGTGGAATCCTTTCTGGGATGAGGCTATGGACAGCTGAGGGGGGAAGAACCCTGCCTCCACCTTGATCAAATGTCAAGCCTGACTGCCCCCATCTCCACATCAACCAGTTCATCCAAACAGACACTGGCTGCTCAGATCCAGAGCAGGGCATGCCTTGGGAAGGGTAGACCCCGCTGACAAAGGGGTCATTGTTGTTAAGTCCAAGAGTCAGTTTCAACTCATAGTGACCCGATAGAGCATTTCCACGAAGCAGCTGGTGGGTTTGAACCACCGACCTCATGGTCCAGTGTTTCTCCTACAGCACCACACCACACAAGGTCTATGACAATGGGGTGGTATTGTTGTTAAGTCCCATGGAGTTGGTTCCAACCCATCGCGACCCTGTATAGGGCTTCTGAGGAGCGGCTGGTGAACTTGAACCACCCACCTTGCGGTTCAAGCTAACCTTGTCAGTGCTTATCCTACAGTGCCACACCAGGATTCCCTCTACAGAAAATAGCACCCCTGTCCGATCATCCGGCACTCATCCTTAGATAACTTCACCATCATCACATGAGCTCAGAGAGACAGTCTCGTTCATCTTTTACTTCACACATGACAGTACGACATGAAAATGACAACCGCCCTTCCTTGCTTTCCCTGACGGAAGAAAATTGGTCTGTGATGGGCTCCCCGTCATTGTTTTCAGCTGCTTCTCTCTAGGCGCTCAGCGGAGCAAGATCACCGTCTGCGTGGCCCACGGAGGCTCTCCCATAGGACGGTCTTAGTGTTAACTTGCTTCATGATCCCTCACAGCTGGCCATGGGAACTGTCACAGTTCAGAGAAACTGCTCAGTGGCACCGAGGCACGTGCCACATGGGTCACACCTTAGATATGCCTGGAATTTCAATTTTGCAGGTCCACGCCCAAGTGTTTACCTGGACAAGATACTGTTTCTTCTGACTGCCCCTCATTTATGA